ATATATATATATATATATATATATATATATATATATATATATATATATATATATATATATATATATATATATATATATATATATATATATATATATATATATATATATATATATATATATATATATATATATATATATATATAAAAGAAAGTAATTATATAATTAGATATCAATCATATACAAAAAATATATGATTGGTATTTGAAATAGGAAGACTAAATAGTTAAATTTGAGACTATGAAAGTGTTGCAAATTTAATTTTGAAAAGTCCCATTGATGATAGCCGAATTTATTAAACGAATGAACTACATTGAAGAAAATAGGTAGTTCGTTGGTTTAAGACAATGACAAAAGTAGGCATGATCAACTTTTTCTATTCATTTCTACAAAAGTCTTATTTCTTGTGATCGGTAAACTTGAGAACATGCATGAGTAAGTCTAGAATAAGAATCACAATCATAAATCCTATTTTATAAATCAAGTTTAATCAAACAAAAATTATCAAAACCAAAAGTAACTATCATTTTAGCTAAACACCGAAATAATAAAGTTTGGTAATCTAAACGGTCCTTTGAGGAATGATAACTTTTCATTACATTGATAGAAGTTGTGCACCCGTGGTTTGTCAAATTTTTGGCGCTATTGCCGATAACGATTTTTGATATTGAATTCACTTATTTGACCTCTAAACTAAGACACCGTTTTTTTGTTTTTCTATTTACTCTTAATTGTCTCTTTATCGGTTGAATGCAAAAAACCCAAATCCTTGAGAATCTCACCGAAATGATACACAAAATCGAAAGTTATTTCCATGAAAAAGCATCGAGAACAACAATAGGAAGCGATGGCAACCTCAAGTCAGTCCCTAAAAGATTACGCTACCCCCACTAAATAGGAACCTCACTTAAGTATTATGCGCCCAAACATTGAGGAAAACAATTTCGAGTTGAAACCTTCTTTGATGTATATGGTACAATAGAACAAGTTTTCTGTTTCACCAAAAGATCACCCAAATGTACACATGTCAATTTTTGTTGAATTATGTGATACCATAAAAATGAACGGTGTTGACCTAGTAGTGATCCAACTGATATTATTTCCATCTTCCCCGAGGGATAGAGCTAGAGCATGGCTACGATCCTTACCCGCCAAATTCATTACGTCATGGAATGAGCTTAAAAATTGTGTTTCTCAGTCGTTATTTCCCTCTGAGCAAAATTTTCGATCTCAGAAACTAGATCACATGTTATAAACAGAGCGACGCGGTATCAATATATGAGGCTTAAGAATGGTTTAAGAAGATTCTTAGACCACCATAGACTTGAAAAGTTGTTAATATTCTATACACTTTATAATATCATTCTCTACTCTATGAGAATGACCATCAACGTTGCTGTAGACAGGGTTTTAATGAATAAGGACATCGAAGAAACTTATGCATTCATAAAGGAAATGATGCAAAACCATTACCAATGGGGAAGCGAACATGCCCCCACTTATAAATCTCACCAAAAGAGAGGCTTGTATGAAGTAAGTTCTTAGTACCATATAAACTCTAAGGTGAATGCCTTATTTCCAAATTCAATAATATGAGCATAAGCATTATAGTCATTGCCACCCCAACATGTGAGATTTATGGAGTAGCCGACCAATTGGTAATGCATGCCAAGTGACTACCAAAGATGAACCTAGCCAAGACATGGCTAATTTTTTTAACAATGCCTAAAGAGGGAAACCTTACCGAGCACCGATAATTCTTGTTGGAGAGAACACCCTAATTTTTTATACAAGAATAAAATTGTGCACCTCCTATAAGAAATTCTAGCCCTGAAATGTTGATGGAATTTTTTTTTACTAACCAAACCTAGTAAAACAAGGATTTTAAGAACTAGAATCTGCACACCTATAAAGTTCTCAGACAATTGGCATCTAAGGTTGACGTTATAGCTACACACAATAAGATGTGAAATACCCAAATCTCTCGGGTAGCACAAGAAGGAAAAAATCATATGGCCCCGCAAAAACCTTTTTGGGGCATGTTGAACCTAACTCGAAAGGGAAGTTGAATGTTGTTATGTTACAAAGTGGGAAACAGTTAGAGGGCGTTCGTAAGGAAAGTGAGGATAAAGCTGAGAAGAGTATTATGACTCAACTTGCTATTGAGGTTGTAGAAGAATAGCAAGACAAATATTAACACTTGCATGAAATAAAATCTTATTGGAATCCCCTTCCTTTAACCATTTAGCCTAATATATTTCGAACAAAAGAGACTTTTTAATTATGAGAAGATACCAGAGATCATAAATGGCCTTCAATCTCTCTATAAGATCTAGATTCTTAATGACACCTTGATCCACTTTTAGGTCCAAAATGTTTATTTATTCTCTTAAGATATCAATTATATGAACTAGGTTACAAAAAACTTCCATATTCCAAACTTTCAACACCTTTTTCCGAGATTTAAGTTTCTCTTTGAGATTAAAAGCCCTCCAACTGATACAAATAGATTTGGCCCAACTATAATGAACCACCTCAGAGAGATCGTTGTGATCCAACCAATGATTGTTGAATCTAAAGAGTTTGGGACCCCACAACTGATTCACATAGCCAAGAATAACGGGACAATGATATGAAATATCCCTAGAAAGCGCCCATTTAGTCATATGCCCCCAAACATCACACCAAGCCTCAGACACAAGAATCCTATCTAGCCTACTTGCACCCAACCATTAGATTAAAACCAAGTAAAATTCCTTCCTAATAGGGGAATATCAATAAGGTCCATTTGAGAGATGAAATTAGAAAACTCAATACAATCAGTAGAGCCAAAAGGTCGAATGCGACCATCGACACCAATTCTCTCAGAGGCGAAGCTAACAGAGTTAAAATCACCACGAACACACCAAACATCACCCCCTAGAATCCTCTTGCGCAAAAGAATTTCCTACCACAAAGCATTGGATCTTAGAAGCCCCTCACTCAAGAAAAATACCAAGAAAACCTAACCCCAAAAAAGAGAACTTACACGACCCTTTAGAGTTACATCGAATAGAGAGAATACCACCATTATTACCTATGATAGGAATAAAGTTCCAATCACAAAAAGAATTATTCCAAAGAGAAACAACCAAAGATGTTGACACCTCACTAAGCTTAGTTTCTTGGATAATAACAAAATCTAAGAAAATAACAGTAATTAATTCCTTGACCTAAGACTATATAACTACGTAATAAAGACCACAAACATTAAAGGATCATATCAACATCGAGAATGCCTCATATTTATTCGCATATTTTTTTACTGGCAACACTTTTCTCCAGACATACTAATCTAGCCACTTCAGCCTCATTACTCAACTTAAAGGAACAAACAAACTACTTATCTAACTTAATAAGTTTCAAAGTCACTTTATTATCAATGATGTTAAGACACTTAGAAAATCTAGAAGGAATCAAAATAGGGAACTCTAAACAAGTAACACTTATTATCAATGATGTCAAGACACTTAGAAAACCTAGAAGGAATCAAAATAGGGAACTCTAAACAAGTAACACTTAGAAGGGGAGTATCTCCAAGACTAACAGGCAAGATAAGTCATGGGGTATCCAATTCTTTCTCCAAAGCAAGCTTTGGAACACTATATTGCAAACATGAGCCAATATGTAAGAAAACAAAAAATATGAAAGGTCTAGCAATACTTGAGATTGGTTGGGGTGACGTGCAAAGGAGATATCTGGTATGGAATAGATTCAATGCCTAAGTTTGTCACTTGAGAAGTTGAACCAGTCAAAATGGAATCTAAAGCACCCTTCATTTAAGAGATAAACAATTCACTCCCTAGCGAGGAAGGAACCATCTGAGAGTCAATGCACGAATCTGAAGCAACCAAGTCTAGAGAAGAAGCATCAATATTGAACGAATTCGACATGGCCCCACGAGGTGAAGAAAAAATAATATGAGACGGGGGTGTCGTCCAAACCAGGAGGAGGCTTTCTTTTGATGAAACAATTCTTTAAGCATAACATATAATCACGTGAAAGTGATGTAAAATCAAGGGGAATACTTTCCCACCCCATGGGGTGAGGGCGGACCTTCTGAAAACTCAAAAATATTGTTGCCAAATTTCAAAAATGCATCTTTGAACATACTCATAATATACACATCTCAGCACTTTATAAGTAAATCATACTCATTTTACCGAAAAAAAATCTAGAAATGCACTTTTGCAGATTCCAGAGGTATACTTCTATAATCTAGATTTATTAAACACTCTCATATACAACATGAATAAAATGGCTTGTCATATAGCATATGAATAATAATAAGTATTAACAGCATCCCTTTGAATCTAAATTTATTAACGCATGCAAATATTGAATCTAAATTTATTAACGCATGTAAATATTCCAACAGGTTAATTAATCACATACAAGCACTTCAAATATATCATAACTCAGCACAATGTACATTAACATTAACAAGGATAGTGAGAAAAATAGCAAGAACCCTACATTTATCTCACTTGTCTTTAGACATTGTGATGTGAAAAGTAAAATTGGCATCACATGCAATTGCTCATTTAAAATTTAAAAGTATTTTTTATTTTTCACTGTGGTGAACTAACATTCCATAAAATGGATAAAGTAATTCCAAAATGCAAAAACTTTTTGGGCTCATTGAAGCTAGACGGATCAGAGGCCCAATGGCCCAAAAATCATTAAAAACCCACGTGGGGGCGTAGCATTGGCTTTATCAAATTGAAAAGCAACTGATTATTCCTTTTAAGTTGTCAAACATGTCTCATTTAAATTTTGCAACATAACATTTGTGCATGGATTTAAGTAATGGTAGTTCTAATTTGTAACAATATTGAATAGCACTACTAGTAGCTCGCACAGTAAATTCATTAAGCTCTTTCAGTTTAATAGAAAACCAAAATTATAACCATAACCATAAACTAAATAACATGCAACAACTCTTATTTTGTACTGTTTTCTCTTTACACCACCACCGTTAACCCTTTCATTTTTGGCATGGATCTCTCTGGAGGTTCAGGAGACATGGCCTTCCTTTTGCTAATCCCGTTACTGTTATTGTTGTTCATCACATCTTCATTGTCAGAAGAATCTGTAGAAGTACTGTTAGTAGATTCTTGTTCATCGGAAGAATTCTCATGAGATTTAAGAAAATAAGGTTGAAGCTTCTGCAAATCTGATATCTGAAGAGGCTTCAACAGAAACTCTTCTGCACCTTCTTCCAAGCACCTATATATTAATCATAATGTTACAAAATGGTGACTTTTGAAGATCTACTTTAACTTTATGCTTTCTTTTTTCATGAATGAGTCTTTGGCATGTAAATAAAGAGCTAGAAATAAATTCCAAAACAATAATATGATGAGAAAAGGAAACATACATGGTAATTCTGGAAGGTATATTTTCTGAAGACATGATCACAACTGGAACATCTTTCCAAGAAGATCCCTACAAGCAGTGTCAAAAAGAAGAATAAATAGATAAGGAAAAAGCAAAAGCAAAACATATAGATCTTGAAATCTGAAACTTTTTCTTTTTCACACTTTCTACTGAAAATTGCAGGATGTACAAATTTTACAGTGTCAACTAATGGTATAATCTTCAAACCATTTAAAAATATTTAAGTTTAATTAATCATAACTAGTTCTAATAACTACTTTTATATCAAAATCTAACTAAAAATTGTACTGTAAGTATTTGGTGAGAAAGAGAAAGGAATGTTTGGCATCTTTTTCAGTGTGATGTGCATGCATGTTATTGAAGTTAAAAAAAGAGAGTGAATTTAGGGAATGTGTCGGAGTAAAAGATGATGACCTTGACTCTTTTAAGTAAATCATAGCCACTCATCCCAGGCATGCAATAATCTGTCATGATCAAATTCACTTTGCCTATTCCCTGCAATTCAAAACAACACAATACCATCATGAATTGCCAAAACATGTACAAATTCAATGTTGAATGTATCTAAAAAAATTTCCGTACAAACGTACCATTTTTACAAAGAGAGATATGTTATTATTTTTCTTTCTGATTTATACTTTTCTAGAAAAAAATTAGTATTACATTGCTTATTTTTTAATCTGATTTTATCCATTACTATTATAATTGAGTTTGTTTATGTAGATTCATGTAATACATATAGTACATTTTGATCCATTATAAATCATAGTTTTCAATTGCGATGCACTTGCACCTACAATATTGCTAATGTAGTAGTTTCCTTTATTGTACTGGATCGAAACTGTTGTATGAATTAAAATCAAAGTGTCTCGTCGCATTAAGAAGTGTATTAGACAATTTCATCCATATTTCTTCAAATATTTTTTTATTAAAATATTTTTTTAGAATTCTAAAACTCAATTTGGAAAGAAATTTTATAAGACAAGTGTTTTTCAATAAGGTATTTCAAATAAATTAACCCGCTACGGTCACCATACGCATTAGACCAACAATCCACCATCACATCCAACGACCACAATTTAAAACCATGAGATGAATGTGTCTGACCTAGATGAATGGAGAATGAAAATCGTAACTCACTATTCAATAGAAAGTCCTTTTAATAAGGATTCTGAAGAGTTTTTCCTTCCTAATTACCATGTAGTACTTAATTCACAAAAATTCCATGTTTTTGAAGACTTGAAGTCTAATTCTAAGAGAAATCCGTGTACGGAACACATTAAACACAAAAAATATTGAATACTCAAAAGTTTTGAAATCAAGCTATCAAATCCCATTATAAATAAGCTACAACTCCAACTATTTAGGTGAAAATGAAAACTATTAATTACCTCACGAAGCTGCAATGGTAGAGGAAGAGGAGAAGATGATTCTAATATAGTCTCAGTGGAAGAAGAATGATTTGTATCAACATCATCAATATTGAGTCCAAGGTATTTCAAAGCCTTATCTCCAGAATCCACACAAGTAACTGTTTTCAAAAATCAAGTAAACCAATTAACTAACCAAATCGATGAGTACCTAAAAATCCATTATCAGTAACTAATTAACAACGTACCTTTGCATGAAGAATCTCTGAGGAGTCTCTCTAGAAGCTTCCTATCAGTCACACTGTCATCTACCGCCAAGACATGAAAATGTTGTTCTTCCTTCAAGTTCTGTGGTTGTTCTACAACCTCCATATCAATCTTGTAATTAAGAATACTCTTAATAGAAGTATGTATATATATTGGGAGAGAGAGAGAGAGAAAGAGAGAGAGGAAAAAGAGAGAGGTGGAATGTAATAATCTTGTAGTAGCTTTTGTATAGTATAAGTGGGTGCATGAGAGAAAAAACTGTGATGGAACAGTGTAATGGATGTGTGGTTGTTTTTGTGAAAATTCATTTCATTATTGTGAGAAGATCTTGTCCCTAGATTCTCTCCACCGCGTTGGTACAACCACTTCCTCTTTCTCTCTCATTCCCCTTTCAATTGGATTTTATTTCATTACTTACAAAAACTCAATATCTTTTTCATCATGCTGATGGAAAGAGTGTTGAAATTCGGTTTATGCGTGAGGACAAAAGCCTTTATTTTAATTTATTATATTCACGTAATTAAATAAACGCTCGAATAATAAACTAACTCTTCCGAAAAAACAAAGGTGAAGAAAAAAAATTCACAGAATATTAAATTTGAATTTTAATAAAAATAATGTTTGATCAGATTTATAATAGTAGGACTCTGAAGTCCGATTAGATCTTTTCTTTAATAGTGAGAGTGTGGGAAAAAAAATATTATCATGGCGTCACTTTCTAAATTAATTAATTAAACCAAACTTCTTTCCTAACTAATTAAACTGTTATTGTCTTAATTTTCATAACTACGTGTGTATTGAGGAGTGGATAATAGCGTTACTTTAACCTATTTTAGCCTAATAGTTCGCTTAAGGAATAATATATAGGATGTGACCCATGGTCAATAGGATCATTTTACCAATCTACTAGCTTTTTTTTTCTTTCTTCTTTCAGATACCATAGTTTTGTTACTTCAGAAAAAAAATGTTTTTAAACTTTAAAATATCATATCAAATATGATATGCTTTGATATTTTGAGATATTTTCCAATTTTATGTACAAAAGGAAAAACTATTAAAAATGATTTATCCAATATCTTAGTAGAATGACAAATATTAGGACTCAAATAACTTCCTGAACAAACGATGGAAAAGAAAAAAAAAGTTGAACAAATTTGAGAAGGATTTTTTTTTAATATATTGTTGCTAATTTGTTAACTAAAAGTTTCTAGAGAATATGGATGGTGATTTGCGGTAATCATGGAAATGTATTCGTGAAGGAGACTTTAAAGATACTTCTTTGTCCTATCTTATAATAAGTGACGCAGTTGACAATTTCACACATATTAAAAAAATGTAATAATAAAAGAGTTGACAATTTCACACATATTAAAAAAAAAATAAAAGAGATAATAATTAGGCATTATTAAATATTGTGAGTGATAAAAGTAATAATAATTAAAGGGTAGAATTGAAAAAAAAAGAATTAATTTGTATTGTAAATTGAAATAAATCATTTATTTTGAAATATTTTTTTTATTCTAAATAGGTTATTTATTGTGGGACGAAAAAAGTACGTGATTTTGAAGATGTATAACTTGTTGAAATTATAAGCCATGACTTGGGTACTACAATTTTTAAAGAATGTTGCTTCAAGGTAGTGGAAATGGAATCATATTGCTTAAATATCATAACTATGGTGAATCAAAAGGAGATTTAGATCATTTAAATTAGGCGTGGTTTAAAGAAACTCTCAACTACTTTAGGAATATTATTTGTATGAATCTCTTAAATTTCATTAAAATCTACTTTTTAAAAAAACACAACGTTACGAAGTATTTGACATTCTAGACAAATTCTCAATAAGGAAAAGCAATTATATCGACATAAGTGCAAACGCCTCCTAAGAGAGAGCCATAATTCTTTCAAGATAGACAATGTAGCATGCCGCTCTTGCAGGGAACTCACTAGTCACCTATTTATTAGGATGTGTGCTCATTCTTGATTATGTTGCCCATTTTTTGGATTACTTACTCGTCCGTGAGAATCTTAGAAGTAACTTCCCTGATCCATAACAATAAGAGATGCAATCAAAAGGGAAAGATCACATTCTCCTAAATAGTACGGGAGTTGGCCACCCACTTCCCACACTCTTAAGAATGGTTATTACTCTCTTGGAGTCTATGGTCCAGGCTCAGGGATTTCTATAAATACTTCAACCCTAAGGTTAAGGAGGACACTCAATTCATTAAGCAAAATACCACAAACAGAGCTTCTCGCCATCCTTGCGTGAGCATGATCTAACATCAGAACAACCCTAAAAACTATGACAACCCTATACCACAAAGGTTTGTCACGTATTTAACTTTTAACAAGTACAATTGACGCCCACCGTAGCGCCATAAAACTAATTTGGGTCATAATCGTCATTACTCACCATTCATTTTCTCCATCTTCCCTTAGAGGATACAAAAACAAAGTTCCAAGATCATTGTCGAAACCTTTGCCGAAGGTTCAATTGGAAGAGGAGAGCCCAGTTCGTCTCAAAGAAAATATGCCAGGAAAAATTTAACAACAAATGTCATACCCGCTAACATCATAGAAACCCTAGAGAGAGTCAAAATCCAAAATCACCTAATCTAGTAAAGATACCACTGTCATTATCCCACACAACAATAATATCATCGTCAACACGGTGCAATAGGGTTGATTGGAATATAAAACGAATACTAATTTACCCTAGAAACTCAATACATGTCTCATTCTATAGGGGTTCCATCTTGACCCAAACGACATCCAAGCATTCCAAAGTCATCTGGTTAGTCTATCAGACAAACATATACAAAGGAAAAGTCGTGTAATGCTTGAAATAATATGTTTGTCTCAAAGGAAAGCGCGAGAACAATTAAATTAAAATATGTCAAGGTAGACTCCTTGTCTCCACACAATCCCATCCTAGAATGACTCACCCTTAATTTGATAGAGACGATTTGTCTACCTTTCGTTTGAGTCTTAAGTATTTGTTACCTTATCTGAATTTTGGATTAGTTTAGGTTAGGTTCAAGAGGTTGCCCAAAAATTCTATCAGAAGAACTTGAAAATAAGAAGGGGCACATCGCCACTAACACTGCCCCTCAGCTTGAAGCACGAGAGCTAGATGTCATAAGCTGGGACATTAGACTGGAGACTAAAAACAAGAGGATCACTTCCATAAATGATATAAAGGAAGTTTAAATTTGGCCTTTGGACAATTAAATCACCAATATAGGCACCTAATTATCTGATTATGGGGAGAGAAGGTTGGTCATCATATTAAGAAGGAACATAAACTTGTTTTCCTAGGTGCCCATTGACATGTCAGGAATGTATACGAGAGTGGTCTGCCACCACCTTTCTAGTGTTTCTATGATGAAGCTAAAGCTCAGAGAAAATGTAAGTTTGGCGAGGAGAAAAGAGAAACGATTGATGAAGAAGTTAAGAAGTTGAGAAGTGTCAGCTTTATAACTAAGGTAAAATACCAATCTTGGATGGATAACATATTTTAGGTAAAGAATTCATCAAACAATTATGCATGTATGTCGACTTCGTAGACCTTAATGTTGAATGCCCTAAAGATCCAACCCCTTAACCAACATAGATTGTTTGATTGACGGATCCTCGGGCTATAAAATGTTAATTTTCATGTACTTTTATTCTATCTACAATCAAATTAAGATATATCATGTAGATGTGCCCAAGATAACATTAATGTCCAATCATGACAACTATTACTACATGTCACACACTTTGGGATAAAGAACGAGTGTGCCACCTATTAAATACCCATGGACACGGTATTCTCAAAGTTAATAAGATGCAACCTAGAGGTTTATATAAATGACATGATAATAAAGACATTAGAAAGGAATAGCCACACTATAGACCCAGAATAAATTCTGAAATCAGTCAAGAACTACAATATGCACCTAAATCCCGCTAAGTGCTCATTCAACATACAAACGAGCAAGTTTATAGGTTTTATGTTAACCAAGAGATGTATAGAGGTGAATTGAGATAAGTGTCAGACAATCGTTGATATGAGGAACCCTTCCAACTTTAAAGAGGCTCAACAACTAATAGGGTGTTTAGCTGTCCTATCTCATTTCCTTTCTGGTGTAGGCGACAAGGCTTTACATTTCTATGCCACTTTGAAGAAAAAGGAGAAGTTTGAATAAACAAGCGAGTGCGAGATGACGTTCTCAAACTTAAAGGTCTACCCCGCGTTGTCGCCCATCTTGACATGCCCAACAATAATTTCGCCCTTATACCTCTGCCTTTCTCTTAGTAACCAAACGATGAGTTTGGTGCTCGTCCAAGAGATAAATAAATCCAAGCGACTTGCCTATATTGTGAGTAATGTATTTAAGGGAACTGTGGCCCAATATCATAAGATTTAAAGACTTTCTTGGTCATTCGTGATAACTGAAAGAAAACTCATACCCTACTTTGCGGAGCATAAGGTAATGGTAGAAACCAACTAACTCATTCGACAAGTCTTGAGGAAGGAAGATCTAGCAAGAAGGATGGTATCTTGAGCAATTGAACTATCTAAGTACAATATTCAGTATATACCTAGAGGAAATATCGAGTCACATATACTAGTTGGTTTTCAAGGTAGAATTCAACTTGTCAGTAGGCGAGGAGACTACCCACGTGGGCATTATCTATAGATGGTGCCACAAGAAAACAAATGGTAAAAATACTTCAACACTTTAATGTATATTGCAATTAGAAGTACTCAAAATGAATGTTGAGAGTGCATATTATTTTTATAATATTTTTTAATCTTTAGTGGTATCACATGAGATCAGAATAATATATTTGTCATAAGGTTTTCTTCTAAGGTGATTTCTAGTTGTGCCTTCTTTGCATAAATCTGGGCCTTTCGTAGTGGCATATTGGTGAAATTTTATCCTGTCATCCCCATACTTTGACCTAGCACTCCCATATATTTTCATAATACCCATACTACCTTGTCAAAATTTTATCAAAATGTCCGGACAAAATATCTGATAGAATAAGGAAAAAATTCGGTACAAATCAAAAAGTCAGGTAGTCTATATAAAACATTCGGTGTAAGGTGTACC